TTTCATTTTGCCCTGTACCCACTTCCAGCAGACACATTTGAATTATTTTCCTGTCATCCAGTAAACACTTTTTTTAACAAAGATCCTACCAAATGCAGCAAATAATGTTTGGCAGACTATTTCCCTGTTGACCAGTGTAGATACTTATAATAGTCATATCCCTGTTGACCAGTATAGACACCTATACCGGTAATAAATTTCCCTGTTGACCAGTATAGATACTTATAATAGTCATATCCCTGTTGACCAGTATAGATACTTATAATAGTCATATCCCTGTTGACCAGTATAGATACTTATAATAGTCATATCCCTGTTGACCAGTATAGACACCTATAATACTTTTCACTGTTGACCAGTGTAGACACCTATACTACTTTTCACTGTTGACCAGTATAGACACCTATAATAAATTTCCCTGTTGACCAGAATAGACACCTATAATAAATTTCCCTGTTGTCTAGTAATTTGTTATAGACTTATTTACTACAGCTTGTTTTCGTATTTTCTGATACAATGTAGATACATTTTGGAAGTTGCAGTTGTAACTGATTCAATTAGTATAATGCAGAAATATTGATTATCTATTTCACTGAGCTTTTGTGCAGCCCATTGACACAGGTATAGACACACAACAGCTCTATGCAAGAATATAATAAAACTGATGCAAAAAATCAGGGATAAACTATTCTGTGTAATATGTATTCAAGTGAGTGTGCATATGTGGCAAGAATTTAAATACTGTAACTAGAATCAATGGATGATCATATTTCTCCATTAATCTATCCATACTCGCTGCTATCATATGTAATTCTGAAATGAGGCCAAGCAAAAAACATTTCAGTTTCCTGTTACATGTATGAACAAAATCAGGGTTGACTTCAGGTAGGTAATAGATTTTATTTTTCAGTTCCTTTTTTAAAAGGTTTATATAAGTGTGTAATCTTGACAAACACTGCTTTAAAGTTGCTGAAAAATTCTAGGGTAGGCTGAAATATTGGATGTAGGTACATGTAGGGTAACCACAGATACAAACAACATTTTTCATTTGGCCTAAGTAATTTGACTCTAAACTTGTCATTGAAAATATAGAGGATGTTTTTGGTTTCGAAATGAATAACATTTTGTTTTCATAAGTGGGGGGAACATGTTGATATTTCACATATTTAATGCACACCACGAGTGAAATTATGAAAAACTTTCAACCCACAAGTTAAGTTATAAGTATTTTCCATGAAGACAGCAAGAATCTTCTGTTCATTAGGTTTTTCTTTACATTTACATTTTTACTGCAAGCTCTTCTTTAAGCTGATTAACCATAAGAAAATGCATTCATACGGCTATGAACTAAATTTGATCAGCATCATTTTGACGTTTTTCCTCAATCCTTGATTAACATGAGACAACTGTTAATTTAAGCAAACATTTTGGTGACGTTAGGCTGTTCCAGAAATGTTGTTTGCACTGACAACACAGACACTCAAACATCGAAAGTATTAAAGGCAATATGTTTGTTAAGGTCGTTAATAACTAAAACAAATAGAATGTTAATGTAAGGATTTAACAACAGCATTTTTCAAATTCATGCTGGTATGAAATTATATAAAATGCTGCTCAATCCTGATATTAAGAGCATAAGGTTCTGTGAGCAAAAAGCGACATTTTCCATGATTGAGCTGCTCACTTTGTTTCAACATCACATTGATACACAAACACCTGGGCTACTTACTGTATTACGACTTTCACAATATGGGCATGCAATGCCCAATGTTTGTTATTTTTCACATTAAACCTTGATCCTAGATTGTCGCAAAATTATGTTGTTATTGAAATTGTATTTGATTGAACTTTGTTTGTTTGTGAGTTGTATAAACTTTGTGTGAATTGGTAGTCAGGTGTACTTGTGAGAACATGAAGATTATAATACGACTTACAATTATGTCAATATGCATACATTCTTGTACTTCAATGGTGTATGTGTGTAATATTTTAATTTGACTTCAGGGTTGTTTGTAAGATTAATTCTATCGTCAGGTGGCTGAACCGGTATTACTCGGTAGGGAAGCCGACGTTAAACCGCTCAAACAAACAAACAAATGTACTGTCACCCTCTTTAAATAAAAACTTGTTATCGTTATTATAACTATATCATAGGATAATTTATGAAGCCGTAATTTTTTACACAGCCATTATTTGCTGTCATCTGTATACTGCTGTAATTAAAAACCTAAAAGCAGCAAAATTCTTTTTTAAAATATTTACATGTATTATGGCATCATACATCAGTGTATGTACAGGTAAATGTTGAGCTTGTGAAGTGTTCAATCTCCTGGCGATGTATTAATTTTCAAGCACTGAAAACGTGTTTGTATATGGTTTTAAATTTTATCAATTTATTTGACATTTCCTGGTGAATAAAGTTAATCTTTCATTTCAGGTTTGAAACTGCATAAATAGATTGACATCAATTTCATATATAAACTTACATCATTTTTTTAGGCTTGGCCACTAAATGATGTGGGACATTAGTGGTATATACCCTTGTTAGAATGTAGTTAATCAGTATATAAGTTATACATCTGGCAGGTCAAGGTTTTGAGTTTACAAATGTAAGCCAATTTATTACTAAGTACTTAGCCTAAGGGTCATGTAATTACTGTTGACAAGTTTCATGCCATTTTTATGACCTACAACTTTGACCTTGACCTCTGTGACCTTGATTATTGGACTTAGTCCAGCAGCTGTAGTATCATACACACAACATTACATACCAACTCCTCTGATGGAATACAGTGCATGACTCTCTGTAACATTGACCTTTGACCTTGACCTCTGTGGGTGCTGGGTGTTTGTATATTTTACAGACACTTTTCTATTGTCATTTCAAAGTACTGCAATATAAATACGTGCACCAATTAATATAATGTAATGATGTGGAATGTATTGTAACACAGTGTTAATTGACGTTCCAGGTTTTATGATTTTTGTCAATTCAATTGGCCTTGTCATATTATATTCCTTTGATTGTCAGCTTTTATTACTGTCAAAATTTTACTGTAATCTTGTATTGATACACATTTTCAAATACAAATACATTCAGACATGTATAATATAAGTGTTCAAAACTAAATGAGTTTTGAAATTGACTAATAGCTAAATTGCTTGCTTAATGTAACATATTCCCACAACTCATGTACATGTACAGTCATGAATATCAATTATACACATGTATATATTACACAGGTTTCCCATTAACTTGAAAACATTGCACATCAGCTGATTAATACCTGTTATAAATACTAAGTTATATAGCAGTGAAATAAAGTAGGGGATGGAATTTTAAGTAGGTACATGTACAAACAGGTCATCTGGCAGACATATATAAGTCTTAAAAATCTCACTGAATTATTGATGGAAGTGATAAGATTGAAAAGGAACATGAAAGATTTATGATAACCTTGAACCCAAAGGTCATTTGGTAAACCATGCAGACCTGGACTGGCCCTGTATACTGTTCAGGACATTGTTAGCTTTATGAAACAGCAACTCAAATTTAACTTTGCATCCATCGTTTCATGAAATGCTTGATCAGGGATTGAATTTTCTTGCAAAAGTAATAGTTTAGATATAATTGTACATGTTTATATATAAACATTGAAATACGTACAGGTAATTTATATTTAAGCTGACAACATTGAAAATGTCTGAACTGCATGACTGTAGATATCTAAGTATCAATACGTTTGAGAATAAGACTAAAAAACCATGTCAACGCAACACCATATAGGATCCATGCATGATACTCCATGCAAGGCCGTTGTACAACATAAGGTCTTACTGTGGGATTTAAACCCATGACTTGCATTTTAGTATTACTAAACTCTTTGTATTATTGAAATATTTTTTTTGCAATTTATTGTGCTAATTTATTGGAGTGTACATTGTAATTGTAATTCACATGCAATGTTAAATAGCCCTGCCACATCAAGTCACATCTTGATGTGTTTTAAAAAACATGAGATTAACGGGGTAGTTCACCGAAAATCTATCACAGCTAGGCTAGTGGCTATTTATATGTAGAACCACTGTACTTGTTGTCTTTATCTGGAAGCCTGTACACTTTTTATTTTTTTTCTAACTTATCATGTAGTAGAATTTGAGCTTGAACTATTATGTCTATAACTACATTTTGTAATACTTAATGTTATTTTCATGATTTTGAGAGAGAAAGAGAAGAAAATAAAAACCATATTTCTCCCACAACCAATATTAAAGTAAACCTGCTAGCTATAGGGGAAACATTTTTGAATAGTAGACCAACTTTAAGGGTGTAACACTCTGGACATTACATATAATTTGATCAATTTTCTAATTATGACATCATTGAGTAACAATGCTTTGTGACATCATCTTCCAGTGTAACATATCATAGTACAAGTAACAATGTATTCCCAAGAGAAACATAGGGTTTTCTAAATCAAATATTTGAATGTTGTGGGGGAAAAAGGTCCGCAAACTTGTGCTGGTTGACTATCATGTTCATATAACTCTCATAAGTTAATTTTCAAATTGTAAAAATTATCGGTGAACCTCATGTCTTTTTACAGTTTGAAAGTTAACTAATGAGAGTTAGATGAACATGGCAACCCACCATCACTCGTTAGGGAACCTGTATGTATATGGTGATGAAATGTCCAAGGTGATATGTAGGTTTTAATAGATATCTTAAACAAAGAGTATACTGCCTCTCAACAAATTTGAAGGATACTTTCCATTTTATTCCATTCCATTGGAAATTTCAAGATTTTGACCCCTGGCACATGTAAATTACTTATCAATGTTTGTATTGTGATATTTTTGTTTATAATGTTGGTTTTTTTTGTTTTTTTTCTAAATCTTAACATGTCAATTTTATTATGCTAATTTTCAGCTTTTTAAACCGAATATATATATAACTCTTATTCCTCTATTTTAATAGATTATTTACTTATACTTTTCAGCCGCATTTGGGATGTGAAGCATACCAAGGATCTAGTAAGTTTTTAACCAAATTTTAACCCTGACTTTTGAATTAACTCCCCTAGCTACCACTTGCACAAAACAACAGAGGTGTGTGTGTGTGTAGAACAGGACACTTCAAACCAGAGATTTATGAAGCTTGAAGCAGTTAAAAAACATCAAAGTTCCGGCCACACTCTAACAATGTTGTGCTTTATTAATAGACTTAATATGTAGATATACTATATAAGTATATACACTATTTTTTTGTCATTCATGATAGTTAAACCAAGATCTGTCTACCTGTTCCATTGTCTGTCTGTCAAGGGAACAATCTTGTTCAGATAAATATAGTCCCTGACCTAATTTCATATTTCCTTCCACTTCTAGGGGTTTGTATCATAAATGTTAGTAACATCCATGTAAAAAGTATTTTTTTTCTGTTTTGCTTTTTTTGCTCTGAATTTATTTATACATATATTTCAGCTACATGTATATAGCGAGCCATCCACATCCCAATGTATATTATAATTATTGATATTAGATTTAACGTCCCATCTATACAGAAGACTGATATGTTTACTTAATTTTCATACAGTGTATAATATAGAGATAGTTACTACAATTGTGTTGGTGTCATATTATTTATTTAAATTTGAAAAATGTAAAGTTTCATGTAATGTAATTTAATTATGGAGATTGAGAATGTATTGCAATGTATTACAAAATAGTTTATTATCTGATTTATGAAATAACACAACACAAATGACTTTAACTTGTGTTTACACTTGCATGAAATTATTACTTCTGGGTAATTATCAAATGGTAGTCGTATTACGTGATGTAAGTGTCATGGCTATATAATGATTGTTGTCACTTAAATGAAATAAAATGAATTAGATAATACATTTTTGATGTAACTGAGTCAATTAAAAAACAAAGGCGGAATAAAACGCAATTAATGTACGATGGAAAATTTTGGTGACTAAGAACCTAAAGATCCCAGTGAGTGAGTGTGCCAATGTAGCGTTGTTTTTTCTATATCCTCAGTTACTTCCCTTTAACTTCTGTTTGGATATGGGCTAGGGCACTTCTGTCAACCAGCTGGTAGCTTTCTCAGTGGGAGCGATTTAGCAGTCTGAAGTTAAGGGTTTGAATCCAGGACGTCTATAAGCTCTACAGAGTAATTGTAACACTGAGAATACTCTTGTTGACTACAATGTATATAGATATATATGTTTATTTTATATTTATCATTTCTCATAAAAGTCCTGCAAGGTATGGTTTTTAAATTTCTTTTCTGAAATGGCCCCTGCGAGAGGGTATTCATGAAATCATGAATGGTCATGAACAATTCATGAACATTCATGAATACAGACAGTTTGAAATTCATGAATACTTATTCATGAATATTCATCAACCTGCTTTCATGCATTCTTCATGAACTTTTATGAATAATTAATAAATTCATAAAAATGCATGAATCTGCATGAAGTTTGTGATTATGAATTATTCATGGACTTTTATGCACAGCAAAAATTCATTAAAATTCATCAGAATTCATGAAAGGCATATCCTTGAGAAATCATGAACTTTGATGAATTTAAATGAATAATGCAAATTCATTAAAATTCATCAAAATTTCTTAAAGATTGACTGAGCAGAAATCATGAACTTTGATGAATATTTCAAATACACAAAATTCACTATTATTCATGAAATTATGAATGATGAGAAAACTCAGTATCCTCAGAAACCATTTTTTTTCTTGTGGTTATTTCAACTCCATGTCCATTTTGCATGAATGTATATAATAATGTAAATATATATAATATATAAATATAATTGCCAATTTTGCAGGAAGTATACATAAATTATATTATGGAGTTCCATCTGTATTGATTTTATTGACTTTGGGAAGCACTGTAATTACTGGGAGCAGCGGTGGCTCAGTCAGTTGTTAAGGTCACAGACTACAAATCACATGCTTCTCACCTCCTTATGTATATATATATATATATACATATTGAAAATAACACTGGAATTTCAGTGAGATTCCACTGGAATGAAATATTTCAGTGAAATACCACTGGAATTCCAGAGAAGAAAACAAAAATCCTGTGGAATTCCAGTGAAGCAAAAAAATACAAGTAGAATTCCACTGGAAAAAAATCACTGGAATTATATTTCTACTGGAATATTAATTCCAATGGAACTATAACTCCTCTGACAATCCATGCAGAGGTGATGAGATCTGAAATACATTTTGCATGAAGTGGTATTAACTAGAAAAAATGGAACAATACATCAGTTTAACAATTTTTTAATAGATATATTACCCTTTACAAAGACAATTGTAGGCTAGCTATTAACGTACATGAGTTTATACAAAATATGACTATGTTAAGTCAGTTATGTTCAAGTGTTTAACACTTATGAATGTGAGATTTGGTGTTATTTGGACTAAGATGAACTTCTTTCCTAGTCTACTGCAATGAACTAATACAGTGTCTCCAGTCAACTAGTTCAAAAACATGAATGCAGAGTGATTTTTCAGCATGCTCCTTTAACACGGGCATGGTAATGGCATTTTTCAAATTCTGACTCAATATGTCCCAGACTTGCAAGGACATTCAGAGATATTGGCACAGCTGGTAAAAAGTCATCCTGGCAGTTCATTATTTTCATTATTGTTTTGTATATTGTCTTTGTCATTGTGTATTATTTTCTGCACCTGAAGATTTTGTGTAAACGCTGCTTTGCTCATTGATGGATGGGACACAAACCTATGAAACTGATAGCACAGCCATTCAAGTTTAGTCATAGTATCAGAATTAGGAATTTTGTTGACTGCTAATTCTGAGTTGAATACAGTGAAGTCATAAGAACTACACCAGTCACAATTCATTTCCTTTTGGTTCTCATCTTCGGAATCACTGTTGGCCTCTGAATCATCCTGTTCAGGATCTGTCATCTCCTGATCAGATTCTGAGTATATTGAACCCTGGTCTTCATGCCAATTGGCCATATCCTCTAGATCTTGGTTTAATTTATCATCAGAGCTTGTCTCTGAATCTGATCTGAAATATATAATTTGTATGATATACTGAACACGCCAATTACCAATTAATTATCATCTACCATATTTATCCTTCAATAAGCCCAGGGAGCAAGTGTAAAATATTGGGTGGTCTAATTGCAGACATATATATATTACACGCTACATGTATATATAGGGAAATGAATTAAAAAATAATGAAATTCATAATGATATTGGGGGGAGGGTGTTATTACCTGCAGGCATGGGCTTATTGCGGATGGAACTATTGTTTATTGAAGACCAAATTCAGAATTGTTTCCAGCTTGGTTTACAATGTTTAACATCCTTAGTAAATAGTCGGGTAGTTCAAGGATGTCAAGCCATTTCTAAATTTGAGACTAGTGTATTTTGAAGTTTGTTTAATGACATCAGTTAGTCACCGACAAAGCGGGACACCTGAACAGGAAAGATCATGAACCTTCACACTTTTATAAACTGAAAGCGAGATGAGATCTTTGAGATCAGGGAGTTCTATATGAGGTAATTGACAAGATAGCTAATTATCTCAGGGCCGCAATTAATATTTACTAAAGAAATTGTTGTCCAATGTTTACCAGTAAATACTGGCATGGCTGGTAAGTTGACAGTATATTTACTGGTAATTAACATTGGACATAAACATTTTCAGTCAACATTGCTCAGAATAATTCCAACTGCCAGTTGCAGTAAAAATAATAATCTAAACATTTTATTTAGATCATAGATCATGAACAGGATTTTTTTTTTATTTTTTCGTTATGTAAAGTACAAGTATTAGTTCACAATTGGTACAATATTATACAACATAATCCTCAAAAACGAAGAGATACTTGACTTCGATTATACCCAGGATTTTACCGTCGCCATGCGGTGAAAATAATCACAAGCATTTAAAATTCTGACAGTAAATTGAGATATTTATCATTTCAAGATAACAGTATTACTATCGATAGTAATTGACTTAATCGTCCATATTCCTTTATAAGATTTAACGTTAGGTCTGTCAATTTACTGTCAGAATTTCGAACGCCTGTGAAATATTCGGTGACTTAGTGGCACAAAACAGCGACACGCCTACACCTCTGGACTTTTTACAAAAACTTTTAATTGAAATAACTACGGAAACAACATGGCATTGCTCCTTAAGTTAATTTAATCAACGTATGATGGCCTTAGTCTTACCTAGTGTGCGAAAATCCAGGGGAAACTGGAGTTGTTGACATGCTGTCGGGCGAATGTTCAAACTCCAATTCCTATCCATTGTTTGCATCGCCGTCATTGAGATGAAGCCCGTATCTTTTTATATGTGTTTTAATCTTCCTTTCATCGATTGGTGTGCCTGTTTATCGACAGACAAAGTTACATGGTCTTTTTTCGCACCGAAGTCATTCCATGCCATATTTTTATAAATTGACTTCCGGTAGGATCGGAGCGAATAGAGGAATTATTCTGATTGGACGAAATTAATCCCGCGCCAAATACGCTTCAGAAGAAAGTGGAGATGGAGAAATTTTCGAAAGACGGCAGGAAGGTTATCGAAGCCGAAGGTAAGAATCTGATTGGGATTTTATGAAATACTTGTATGAAATGTTAAAACTATGTGTAATTATGTGAAACCAGTCTGTGATCATGATGTTACAACGGTTTACATTGGCAACAACTCATCTGATTCGTCATATTACGGACTTATATAATCTAATCTAATTCCGTGGTCATATTTACCGTGCGGGTTTAGCAATGATATCGATACTGAAAATTATACGTTAGAAAACAGAATTGAATATATTACTGAGTGCTAATGGTTACTGCGTCCAAATTACCAAACGTGTGTGCGTGTGCACCCAATCCCACCCTGCCGAATTTGAAGTTTACAGTATGAATGCACCTCTTGAGATAGTTCTTAACTTGTATGAAATTTGCAGATAGATAATATATAATTTCAATAAAAATTACTGTC